ATCAGAGCGATCGCCTTTTTAGGGATCGGATGTATCAAAGCGGTCTTCCAGCACTTCGGGACAGTGCCGAGCGAGTACAGGTACCGGAAAAGGCGCGTTAAGACCGGAGCCAACTCAGGAGCACAAGTACGCAGCACAATTGGGGGGATACCATCCGGCCCGCTCGACTTATGAATGTCCAAGGAAGATAGTGCTTTGCGGACAGCACGTTGCCGGAATGTGATTTCCGGCATCGAAGAATCACACCGCGAAATGGTCGGTGGTGATCTCCCTCGGTCATCCAAAGTCGAGTTAGACGCGAAGAGACAGCCCAAAAGGTCAGCCTTCTCCTTCGCAGTGTGGGCCAGAGAGTCATCCTCCCTGTGCAGTGGCGGAATGGCGGGCTGACAAAAATTCCCTTGGACAGCTTTGGCGAAAGACCAGAAGGCTCGAGTCCCTGATGGGAGTTGGGCCAATCTCTCGCCAAATCTGGCAATGTGCTCTGACTTTGCCTTAGTGATTTCCCGTTTGAAGGACCTGGAGGCTGAGTTATATGCTTTTTTAAGTTCGCTGGTATTGGCATCACGAGATTTCGCCGCTTCCGCCCATGCCTTAAAGCATTCTCGCTTTCGACGCGAGGCCGCCTTGCAAGAACGTTTAAACCAGGGCTGAGACTTGCCACCGATCGGCACCGCAGAAAATGGAATAAAGAGTTCCATGCCCTGCAGAACCACTTCGGCGACAGAGGCGGCGACGGAATCTGGAGCTTCCGGCGAAAAGCACATAGGCCCCCAAGGGTAGGACGCAAAGAAAGACCGCATCCCGTCCCAATCTGCTGACTTATAGTGCCAAATACGGCGACAACCCATAAAGCGGGGCCGTGAAGGGCGCGTAGATGGCACAGTACTCCGGACCACACAATGATCTGATGAACCCAATGGCGGGTCAACAGAGACTTGATAGTTCTCCGGATGAGAAGTCAGCAGAAGGTCCAACAAAGAGGGTTTATGACCATCCACATCTGGTATTCGCGTAATCGCAGGGACCATTTGTGTCAGGTCGTAGGCTAAAGCAAAGTCGTGAAAGGATCTTCCCGCGTGATCGGTGGTTTCAGAGCCGAGCCAATCGGCATGGTGGGCGTTAAAATCGCCAAGTATCACGATTTCAGCGGTAGGAACCCTTTCGAGCAGGGAATCTGTAGCCATTTGGATGTGCTCAATGAGTCGGTCAGTTTCGGTATTTCCGCTATGGGACCTATACAGGCATGCGTAGAATCGCGGATGGTCATCGCAGTCTACGCGCAGCCAGAGGTTAGATAGGTCCCTTCCTTCAAGCGTCCCGAGGCGACGAGAACAGATATCCTCTCTGACGTACACGCAAACTCCAGCCCGCGGCACAAATGAATGTTCCAATTTGTACCCCGGGTAGGATAGGTGGGAAGTATCAGCCGGGAAGGATATCTGAGTCTCGGTAAGAAAGAGCAAGGCCGGCTTCGCAGTCTCTAGATGATAGTGGACAGCGTTGATGTTAGAATTAAGCCCCCTAACATTTGTGAAGTCCACGGCGAGTGTGGACGGGGGTGCCTTTGTATAATTGCTCCGTTTGCCCCGAGGACGATTACTATTTTTGTAGAGTGCAGTACATGTGTTTAAATATAAACTCTTGGAATTGAATGTTATATGAGGATATCATACATTTATTAATCATCTGTGTCTTGTTTTTGTTCGGTCAGTGTTTCGGCTTCGTACGGTTGGATGTTTATTTTTATTTAATCCTGTAGGTTTTGGAGTATATATAAAAACTATTAAATCTTTCTTCTGAATGATATCAGAATATACATCGTGTATTTCAATATATTGTAAATTATATTGATTAAATTGAATTTGAACCGATTTACGGTGAAACACTATACGTATATAATCTTACTTCCACAACTTGAAATCTCATCTCTCCTAAACCGAATAACGGGACACTTACCTGTACTTATTAGAGTAGAGAAATCCAGAAAACCACATACTACAAAGTTCCCGGCCCGAACCAATTAACCCCTGGGCGAAACTCAAGTTATTAAACAAAATTGACTTCAATATTATAATAATATTACATTCGCTAGTCGAAAATATGGTTTAATTTGGGACCAATTGAGATGTCCTATATTCCAGAATTGCTGGCTTAAAGTCTAATTAATATTGTAAGTGGAAAGCTCATCTAGTCTATCCTTCAGTTTTGACAAGTTGTTTGAATTTATTTATAAAGAAGAAATAAAACAAATAAACACGCCGTGATTACAAAAGACCAACGCATTCGCATCGTTAGTTATGTATCTTTTATGAATATGGTCGTTATATAAACAAGCTTTAAGCTTAATTAATCTGTATGTATCAATTTTTCATCAAGTAAACGGTTTGATTGTATTATTAATGTTAGGTTCTTACGCATATTTCGTTTTGCTCTACAAGAGAATTATAGGCCGGGATAGTTCTCCTGAATTTTAAGTACTAGATTGTTGCTGTACCCCGGAAGGGACTGGTCACTCACTGGTTTTTAACTACCATTAGATTTTCGCGGACAATAGATTTTACAAAGAAAAACAAATATTAAACGAAATAGTAACTCTAGCCAAAATTCGTATTGCAATTATTTTTTCGATGAAAATAATCATTATACTTTTAGGAATTCTAATTGTCTACATGACCTAAAAAGCTCAATCATTTTAAACATTATACAAAGTAATTGCGATATCATAACAGTGAAGCTTATGTTTCGTAATTGGATTTTAATATTCTCTTTACATTTACAAGATTGTTATATATTTGTATGAAAATGTGGTTTACAATCACTCAAAACTCACCAAGAATATAATACAAATGTAATTAATTCCGTCTCACCTCCTTCGGACAAGCAAAAAAGCTGGGACTGCCGCAGAGCAGGCGGAATATGGCTCAAATATTAGGTCCTTACATATGAAATTGGCGTTTTGTATGGGAGGAACAAAGATTTTTGTTATTAGGTTATGATAAACGATAGATTACATTAAATGAAGTTACTTATATTTATTATTACGAATAAGTGACTGTACACTTATATTTCAAGTAAAGATTTTTTAAGAATAACTTGATTAACTGAGGCAGCAATCGGCCAACTTTGCACTAAATCTTTTAAGGGGTAGAACAGACGGCATGGGCCTGATTCCAGCATTTCTTAGGCTTTATGCCACTGGCATCACGGACAGTCCTCCGCCAGTAGTTACCGGCCCATTAAGGTGGTGAAGACTGATTAATTATAATATGTCTTTATTTTTAAATAGTTATAGTTGTGTAATAATAGTTAAAATAAGTAACATAACATATATAAAATATGAAAGTTACATTATAATTTATAATAATTGTTTGGCATTTATATCTGTTAAATAAAGAAATTACTTAAAATGTCACATGGGACATGGTGCAGCTCCTTACAAACATTTTGTAAAACAAAAAAATGGCGATTAAAAATAGTGGCGGAGAGTTTATTGCCAGTTCTTCTCTCCCATTCTACACCCTTGATTTGAGAACTGGCAGTAAATGTAAAATTAGAAGCATTAATATGTATTTCTAAGTGTACATTATGTTACCTATGTGATTAAATGAATTTTTTACTTTTTTTTACAAAGCAGAACACGAAAATCCACCCATATCACACCGATGCACTACTGACCATTATGGGTGACCATGACCATGCGCACTTTTTGCCAATACCATAGAACTCATTGAAATATTTCAAACCGAGCGTACCAATTTTTAAAAAGCCGGTAAGAACTTATCTTTTTTTTAAAAGAAACAAAATATACCGTTAATATTTATGAGCTTAGCCATTACTTTTTAATTAAAACATGTTGAACAAACATGCAAATTGCATAACTATAAATATTCCGCTTGAATATTTTTTTTACTAAAAAACTATTTCGTTAAAAAGGTCTTTCAAAATAATAATGTTGGTTTTCTAATATATGGAATGCGAGAAAGAATACTTAGAGTACGATAATACATTTATTTGCGGGATGCGTTTCTACGTAACAATCACAAACTTCTTTTCCTCAGTTTTCTGCATCTGCTTTGTGTTCATTTGTTTTTTCTAATAGGCAAGAAGGTGATCAGTCGTCTGTGCCTGACACACGTTGTCGAAGGCATGCCTCACGATGTTCTTCCTTCAGTGTGGGTTAAATATGTACATAAAAAAAACTAAATTAATAGACAGTTATCTGTTTTGTAAAGTAATCGAAACTCCTAGTTATGTTAAAATATTTAATAAATTCACGTTAAAGAAGCTATATTTGAAATTTAAAATCATATATTTACGAACTTTGCTTTGATAAAGCAACGATTACACCGTCTCTGACAACCCATACTTATGTTGACTGTAATAACCTCAGGCAATAAAAACAACACGGTGTTGTAAAAAGTTGGGCGGAATGTTAGTTCATATTGCACGTGACATAGATTGATGTGCTGAATAAATGTACGGATGGGCTCTCCTATTATATCTATTTTTAGTTTTCCTCATTCATAACTATAGGGAATAATGATATTTCGATAGTACTACTATGTTCTTTACACTACATACCCCATTTCCTACGCGCGCGAATTTTATACTGCTTAAAAATATTGTCAGGTCCTAAATTTCTGTATCGGTTCTTAATAATTTCTATTTTTTTTTCTAAAGCATGTCGGTTTTTACACGTTTTTTTTTCACAGTACGAACGAGTGTTAAACGTGCATAGACAGTCGAATTAAACGTCAATTGATCGAAGTAATCTATACTTTATAAATTTAGTACTCTCTTATCACTGAGTAATATGGGAGCGGTTTTTTAATATAGTGAATTAATTCGCTTGGGTGTACAAAACGGGGACGTTAAAAAGACGTGGTAGCTCAACCACTTATACTCACACCATCCAAATACCTATCGTCCTCTCTGTCCGTATTTTCTGTTCTTACCGCACCCATTTCCGACCATGTTCAAGGAGGATGGGAAGATTCTAGATGCTTCCGCGCAGCAAAAAAGACCTGCAACCACCGACGCTTATTGCTAAACGCTTTTGTTTTAGCAGTGGTCTTCTCCCATGGAGACAAGTGAAGAGAGCGGGGACTAACAGTGAGTTATTACTACTAACAGTGATTATTATTCCATATCGTATCTGTGAATGAAAAAGTAGGGAGTGCAGCTGAAAACCCGACTGATCATCATAGCAATTCCTCTCGATTCTGTTAATCAATCAACTCCGACGTTTCGTAGGTTTAAACGAAGAATTCCTGAATAATCTTTGTATTGTTTTATCTCTTTTAGATATCATATTCTAGAAGAGACACACCCATACATTTTATATATCGCGTAACTTGGTTATATTTTTTTATGGAATAAATATATTATAATTTACTCAGGAGTGGTGAGATTATTGAATTGTTAATTTACATATTTATTAACTTGGTTTGAACTGTGTAAATTGTGGTGGAATATACACAACGGTTTGTTAGTAAGAACATTGGATTATATGGCAGGGCTTAGAAGTTCGCTACTGAAAAATATAATGAAGACTTTGTATATGATCTTTATTACTCTAAGTATAGGGGAAAGATAACGGCACAAAACAACAGCCCTTAGATTAGGCGTGCAAATTACCAACCTTAAGGTCGTACTGTCAAATCACGTCAACCGATGTTTTTTTTCTATATGCCTTAAGATTCGCTCGTAAAGAAAACAACGGCATGTCAGGCAAGAAAGGCTACCTACTTGCCTGTTAATAAAAATAACAAGAAACGGAAGCAAACGTTAAAATGTTCTGTACTGTTTCAGTTTCACTTTATTGTCGTTAATTTTTATTGTTATTTATTTTATCTGTTACCATTGTAATGTTTCCCTTTGCACATTAATGTAGTGTGGTTTTTGTATGTGTAACGTTTACTTTATAATAAACTATCAGAATAATCAAGTTAAGTTTTTGGGTCTAATATGTATGTTTGACCCAATGCTATACGCATTGGGTTCGAGCCAGTTGCATGGAAAGAAAATTGCATTAGTTCTTTAAGGTTGAGAAACGTTTGACTACTTAACATTGATTTTAGGTATTTATAGACATAAAAATGCCTGTTTTGCAAAATATTAAGCTATTTAATCCAGCTTTCATAAGTACTAGGTTACGCTTCGTAAACTTTCTACGGCAGCCGACTACTAAACTGTATGGTTTATGGTCACAATCCCCGGCTAGTGATACCATACTTATGTCACAGCACCTGAGCCACGAGTTATGCACCCATATATTACTCCTAATGCCATAACGAAATCGATACGGCATTTTTCTGCTAATACCAGGTGCGCCAAAGTGGGTATAATCCTTATAGTTTTTGCTTATATTTTTTATAAGGTTTATTATTGTTAAATATTTACCATAAGGCATGGGGCAGTCATAATCTGCGTCTCATTTCTTGATTATTTCTTTTACACGTGGAATGCTGATGTTTTTGTATCAGAAGCATTTAATGCAGTCATATTCGCATTCAACGTGGATATACCTCCCGCTTTAGCCGTAGAGGCGAAGCAGAACAATGTAGAAGTGAAAAGGCACAACGTTATTTACATATTGGTGGATGAGGTGAAGCAGCTCATCAATCAGAAGATTCCCACTACACAGCAGGAGGAGCTTCTTGGTGAGGCAAAAGTTTTGCAACAGTTCCTAGTTTCGGAACGCAAGAAGAAAGTGCCGGTGGCTGGATGTCGCTGTACCAAAGGAACGCTTTTGAGACAGGCTTTGTATAAAGTGATACGGAATGATCAAGTCGTGTTTGAAGGTAAATTAGCCTCAATGAAGCATTTAAGAGACGAAGTAACATCAATAAAGAATGACACTGAATGCGGGATCCGGTTCGATGATACGAGTTTTGACGTACAGGCCGGAGATATCGTAGTGTGCTATAAACTCGTAGATGTCACTCATACAACTGAATGGGATCCTGGATTTTAGCGAGTGTTAGTTCTATAAAAAACTTTTTTTGTATCTATTTACCTTTACATTCACTCAACCTAACCATCCATGGTTGCCTTGTAACTCGTAAGCCGTTTCTCATGCTTTTGATGATTTTCCTCATCATTTTAAGAGAAAATGTTATTTGCTTACAGAAAAATGAATATATTTAATAGGCAAGATGCTAAATAGCCTCAAATGGGGAGGGGGGGTCTTTGACAGAAAGAAACAACTGAGCGTTTTTTAAGGCAGTTTTCGCCGCGCACTACCACTATGTGAAACCAGCTGCCCACTAAAGTATTTCCGAACCAATTCGACTTAGGGTCCTTCAACTAAAGAGCGTATCAAAAGTCTCTGATATTGAGAGTGTCCATGGGTGGCGGTATCACTTAACACAGGTAAGCCGCCTGCCGGTTTGGTCTATGTTCTAAAAAAAAAAAGTAGTACTTTCGTAGTAAAAATACTGTCTTGTAGACAGTATTTTTATACGGATGATGAAACCTCAACGCCTAAATTTAAGACATTAATCAAAATAATGGCACTTTCACTCTTAAAAGGTCCTCAAAACTCCTGGCTAACTAAGCCAGCCTAGCTCCTTCCAGAAGCACAGAAGTCTCCTGGGCACTTCACAGGCTTCACGGAGCATTTAATTTGACATTCATCGGTTCTAGAATAAAGTTCTTCCAAGTCCCCTCAAATTAACATTGTTTATTAATGATCGCAATTAAATATAATTGGAATTCATGAGACCGTTTAACTAACGTGATTTACATAACTACAGCTTGTTTAATATTTAAGAGTTGTGATTTTAATCATAATAATCCGCTTTTATAACTTAAAAACTTTACAGTGTTCTAAACAAGAGCAATTTCAGTGATTTATGTACCCGTGCGTCCGAGAACCGGCGAAATTACGAAGTTTTGTGTGAAAATTTCTAAAATTGTAAAGTGTCTCGTCTCACCGTCGCTTGTTTTCGCTACCGTTGTATCTAAACCTTGGAGTTTATAAGACGAGTTTAACTTTGTACGGTCTTAAATATAAATTTCACAACTTTGCGTCTCACGAATGGAGTTACAGTATTTCATCGTCGTTCAACAAGTTAACGTTAGGAGTTTGTTTTACATTAAAAGTAATGTTTATGCTAGTGGAAACTATATTTTCTTGTTCATTTTTAAATATATAACTAATTGAAATGGTTATCAACATCCAGTTATCTTTGGTATACTGCCTTTGTGGGGAGGTGTGGGGGGGGGGTAAGAATCATGACGTTCAAAAGTGCCATTTTAGGTGGTCTAATTGAAATAAATGATTTGACTTTGACATATGTCGTAAACGTTGCAATGACCGAGAAAAAGATGGATAGAAGATATAGAAGTGATAACAGGTATTAGGGAAAAGCTGGAGGAGGACTTTACCCGTGAAGGGGGTTGGGTGTACCCCCGGAGGGGTATTAATGGGAAGGGGTACCGATTAATGGTATACTGAAGCATGTTAAGGATTACGAGTAGGTAAAAAAATGTAAATAACAAATTTAAGATTAGAAATAAACTGGCATTATTATAATTATTTTAAAAACGTATTAACGTCATACATTTTAAATGATTGACGGATATTGAATTCGATTTCTGGCTGGTTTAAAAAAAATCAAATAAATAACGAATATTCTTGTCCTATTAGGCAGTTATGGGACTTTAAATGAGTATACTTTTAGATAAGAAAATGAATGTAGTCCTATATATTTGGTCCTCCTTATACTTTACTAAGCAATTTAGATTAAATTTTCTAAAGTTCAAACACATTGAAACTGTTTTCGAATAATTGGATTCAATACAGCGACTCGATAGTTTGCAAACAATAGAATCGATTGCTCATAGATTGACCAGACCGTTCTCAAATTACATCAACTATTATTGTTCTCATAGTTTCTCCTCAGATCAATTGTGTTGTAGCATAGTTTCGGTCTTACCCTTGCCACAAAAGCTTTAAACTATCGGCTATTATATTCCTCTGGATCGCTAAAACAGCCATTGTTTATAGTATAAAGACTACGAGAATTCTTTTGAAGGAACAAAAGTTAGCCCAGTTGCGTAGCAACTTTAAACTTCCATTATGTACCATAAACAGTTTTCTCTCATAGAAGATTTTTGTCATGACATATTCATTAACTTAACACTGCATGTCTTCCCCGTTAAAAATATAATCATTTTAAAAGTACTATTAAAATTTTGATAATTGTCTTACAACATCGTACATTTTATACAAAATTTATATCTAGGGTAGGTTTGTAAAATATATGTTAACGTGACATCGCCTAATAAATCGATGAACGCCGGCTGCACGCACGAAAAAGCATAACGTATTGTCCCGTTACGCACATTGTACGCTTGCGTCGCATCTATCTTTCTTCCACTCTATGCGTTCGAGGATTCACTCCTTCTTTGCATCCATAAAAATAGTGATAATTCAATAAAACATATTCAATTTTATTCATAAAAGTATGGAATCATTTCATTAATGTTTTTATGACGTTGTCACGTTAAACTATCGTCCGTAAACCAACTTTTTGACAACCATTTTATTTTATTGTTTCATTGTATGGAAATTTATTTATTGATTATTCTTGTATTATATGTAGACTTACCTCTAATTGGGACTTTTCTAAGCAGCTTGTGGCTATGACGTTGAACCGTAAGTATTTCGAGAATATCACCAAACCAAATTAAAATAAGCCTTTTATAAAGTGGCTTTGTTTGTGTATTCCCAAACTCTCAGTTGAGAATCAAATTTGGTTCGTGCGCTGATGTCCATTAGCCTGGTCTCGCAAACTATATTATACCCCGCTCACGAAATACACCTATGAGAAGTGACGACGTCGTTATGGCCAAAAATGGAAATTTGGTAACCACAAGCAATTTTGTACACTTAGCCCTAATAGGTTATAACTTATATCAACTGACTTCGGCCGTTCAACTCGCGGGCAACGTATTACCATCTCTGCAGGTAACAAAATATCTATGTTAAATAATACGTAATCTTATTTTAGCTTGCTTCAAAATTACCACCTGTAAATTAAAAAAATCAGTGTCATCACCTTTTTAGGCATAGACATATAATTTATTAAAAACAAAAACACGCACACATAAACATACAAAATAACAATAATAAAAGAAAAAAAAAACGATATAATGAGAGATATAAAATATATTTTCCTTTTCTCATTCGGTTCGTTTCAAGTATGTAATGCGTGTGTGCTGTGGCTGTAATTGGCGCTGGCTCAGCATTACGCTGAGGAGCAGAATGTTTCACAGCGCTGGTCATTCTGCCACCACATCAGCTAGTTTGCGCCTCAGTCGCAAAAAAAATAATGTATTAATACTTAGTAGAAAATTGAGTAATATTAGTAAAAGTTAGCAGTGTAAGTAATGAAGTCTTGTGTATTGTGGTGTGAAGTAAATATAATTAAATTAAAAGTTAAAAATTAGAATAATTGTTAAGAATTAGATAAATTTTTTGGGTGGATTAAAAACTAGATTTTGTGGGTTTTTTTCAGTTGAGTTTATGAATGAGTTTTTAGGTCTGGGCCTCAGATTTCTGTACCTTTTCAATCTAATAGGAAAGTAGATGATCACACGATCGTTCTCCTTTCTTTGGTTGTAAATATATCTCCATAGCTTCCTTTTGTATCACCCTTATAATAGAAGATATACTGTTTTTGATCTACAATGCTTTCACCTATTCTTCTTAATTCGCTTAATCCTAGTATGTCCCAATTTATCTTTGAAAGAGCTAACTCTAGTTCGGTAAGTTTTTCGTGTGTTCTCAATGAGAAACAATTCAGAGTGGCGATATAAAATATTTTATTTTCGATTGGGTTTGGAGTGTATGAACTGTTAATTTTTAGAAATTTTTGTCATCTCTTTTCTGAGCTGAAAGGGAGTGGTCGACATTCTGTGATCATTAAAAATGGAAACTGTATTAGTTTTCACTACCATTATAACTTCTATGACTGTCTGCTTCGATTCTATTAAACACAATATATTGGAACACCTTGCATTATACAATAATTAATTGAAATTCAATATCTACATACTGTATGATTGGGATATTTGCTATGCAAATTAGTATAATTATAGCGTATTTGTATGTGATTGGCTTATGCTTTCCGAGTAAACATTTCAATTAATATTTGGGTTAAATTGTGATGTGAAAGCTCGCTTTTCATGAAAATTGATAAATGGCTAACAAAATTAAACATTTCACTTGTTTTAGCTTAGAGTACTAACTATAGTCGATTTATATTTGTGTAAACACTGGCATTTGAAAGCTTCACGCGTAATATAGCTTTGTTTAATTCAGATCATTAATATTCAACTTACTTACTATAATAATATTGATTTAACGATAATTGTATGGCGATATATTTAAGGTCTATTGTAATGTTTTAAGCTCCATCACAATGCACTGGAGGCACTCCTGACAAACAGGGTTACCCTACAGTGGGTAAAAGGACTCAGTGGATCTTTCAGTAATGATGCTGCCGACGAGCTTGAGAGGAGAGGCTCCAGAACGATGCCCGCTGGCCCGTATCCGCTCCTTATCGCAAGTGTGAACCTTGATTCACCACGCACGGCACGACTGACAGCCCCATGTGCAGAGGCTGTTTCAGCGCACCCGTGTAGTTCTGGAATGCGTGGCTGTGGCAAAACAACGTCCCAAAATCCTCGGAGCAGTGGGGTTGCTCCGTGAAGCCTGCGAAGTGTACAGGAGTCTTCTGTGCTTCTAGAAGGAGCTAGGCTGGCTTAGTTAGCCAGGACTTTACGCACATCGGACCTAGTGAGAGTCTTATTGCGGAATCTTACCTTTAACCTGTTTAAGGCTCCGTAGATGTTTTTATTTTATGAGCTGTTTTCTTAAGGCAATATTCCTATTCGAGACTGAAGGTAAGAGTCAAGGGAGTACAATTTTTACACTCGGGTGTAAGCATCATTCGAGCTAAGTGT